AACAGCATCAAAGTAACATTTTCAAAAGGTTTTCAGGAGCAAACCCATCATCTAACCTTCTAAAACAATGCCTATATCCTTTGCTGGCTAATTTGTCAAGCCATTTACCCCATGTAGCATCAATTTGCATTGTTCTATAGGTTAAACCTTCATACTGTATGAATGCCAGACTAACTAGATGAAAAAGCCAGCCATCGTTTTACCTTCCCTTAAAGCAGGGATTCCCTAAGTGCGGTGCGGTGCGCAAGCTGCCGCTAGGGGGTGCGCGAGGTGAAAAGTGTAATGGCTGCGGAGCTCAGAGAAGTCTGTCAAAAGTCAACATTAGCGTAGCCAGAAACTCATTTGTGGGTGGGCCTAAGAAAAAGTAAGTGGGCCCAATAAACGCAATTGGAAACAAGTATATTTTGCTTGTGTGTGTGTGTGTGTGTCCTCCGCATGTGCCCTAGCTTCATAATAATGATGCGCTCCGAGCTTCAGCACTCTGACCTGCGCACGCTGACAATAGCAAGATATGTTCCGTATTTGATCATTTTTAACGATGTTGGAGAAATCTGAAGGTGGTGAGTCATTCTGGCAGATTGTAATTAACACCCTGTCTCATGCAGGTGTTCTGACATTGTAAACCTCACACACAGAACATTGTGGATGTAACAAAATAAATCATGAAATGATTCCCATCTGAGCATTTTAGCATTATTATATTATTATATTAGCACACTGACTGTGGGACAGCATTCTTAACGTGTCAGGCTATTAACAGCGCGCTGAAGATCTGAAGTTCAGAGTGCGTCTGTCAGAGGTCAGACGCGTTCCAGCGGAACCACGGCTCACGGGTACACAAGTGAGCACATCTGGGATGGGCAGAAGTAATTTTACAACATTGGTTTAAATAGCACCAATAATGAGACGCGGTGACTGGAGCGGCTCATGGAGCTGTGCCACGCACACACACACACGCACACATACTGATTCAACAAGCGCACGCTGCGCTGTGCCGTCAGACTGAAGGCAGCAATGAGCGCTGCCTCCTCCGTGATAAAAACTTTTAAGAGGTTTTACAACAACATTTTTTATTCAAGGTCATATTGATATTAGCTTCTATTTTAGGATGACGTATTAAAGTCGAGTCCGCTCCAGCCAGTGACTCCTCATTAACCTGACCACAACTCATGTGACTGCAGCATTTGTTATCCCAGTCCACGTGGCAGCGGATCCCAGATTCAGTCACACCATAAAACAGCAATAAGTCGGTCTGAGGCAAAAGTGAACCTCATGGCTATAGCTTTCCATCTTTTCCCCTACAGACATTTGATTACGCACAAGTAGGTTGCCAGCTCAGGTTTACGCAGAGCAGAAGGAAGGAGAGAGCTCTGGTTAAACGTTCCTGCTTTAAGAAAACCGTTAAATTGCAATGTTTATGTGCTACCTGGGCACTCTAAATATTTATTTAAAATTAAATCAAAGGAAATTGTAATGGTATTGAATGTTAAATGAAAGTGATGGGGAAAAAGGTCGATCATATTTTTTGAACCCTGTCTGTCGAGTGTTTAGCGTGACGTCTGATATATATATATATATATATATATATATATATATATATACATATATATATATATATATATATATATATATATATATATATATATATATATATAGCCATGCCCTGATGTGGGGCTGGGGGGTGCGTCAACATGGTCGGGACATAGAAGGGGGTGCGTGGCTAAATAAGTTTGGGAACCACTGCCTTAAAGTAAAGCATCAATACCACAGCCTTGGGCTTTAATACCTAACTGTTGCTCCTACTTCCTTCCTGATTTGGATCTCGCTGTTACTCCATAAAGACACATCAACACAACACATATGGAGAAAACCAAAACCAACTTTATCACGGGTTTCCTCCCATGTGGAAATGCATTTTGGCACTTTTGCAGCCTGTCACAATTGGACCACACTGAAAAGTGACCTCTACATATCTAGACAAAATTCTGGGAGCTTTACCTGTGCAGAAGCACAGGATCAATTTGCGGGAAAACTGATCTCTCATTTGAGTTTTCTTTTTTTTACAAAGGGGCCCTGTAAATCATGTCCTTTATACCTCCGGCTGGGGGTTCACCGCCTTACCACAAGGTGGGAGGAGAGAATGATGGGAAAAACATGAGGAGCTCTCACTTTGGCGGGTCAAAGAGAGACCACAAATGAAAAAAAAACTTGGCAAAACAGAATAAAGGCTTGCAAGGAAAGGGATGTCTACAGTGGATTAGGGGGAAACAGCAGGGGTTAAAATACTGAAAACTAATCATAAAAGAAAAAGAAATAGACTGAGGAGCATTAGGGTGTAAAACGGCAATAAAAAGAGCAATAAAAATTAGTCTCTGTAATTTCAAACATCTTCAAACATCAGTAAGGTAACTCAATCATTTATACTGCCCAACATGTCTAAATACAGATCAGAACTCAACCCTTAGCAAGGCAGTCAGACTTTTTGGGAAAACGACAATAACAAAAAAGGTAAATACAAATAGCCATTGATAGGCCAATAATACTAAGACTGATACAGTAAAAAAAGGTCAACAACTTGAAAAATGATATGATATGATGCAAGTTAACCTTAGTTTTAATTTAGCTCACAGAGTTTCCATGCCAAAACAAACAAACAAAAAAAGAACTAAAGAAGAGATACATCAATTAATGAAACAATTTCTTAAATACTAAAAAATGTGAGCATTCACAAACAAAAAACACTTGCACGTGATCTGACTACCAAAATTAGATCTAAAGCAAAATGAATAAAAAACACTAACAAACCGACTTCATTAGTTTCATACCCATTCAGTAACTCTGCAAAATATATTTACTATACTATAAATTCTCAGTTACAATATATGAATTACACAATCAAAGTGAAGCAGACTTTCAGCGTTTTATTTTACACGTGCTGCTGCAGGCATTACTAATGAGTAGGGTTGGGCATCGTTTGATTTTGAACGATTCCAATTTCAATTCCTCGTTTCGATTACGGTTCCTATCGATTCACGATTCTGATTCTTTGAAGACATGACATGTTTTACATGATCCAGCTAACCACAGGTCCTACTTGATGAAATAATTTTAACTTCAGCATGAATTTTAACTCTATGAACAACATCACCTTCGTTTAGACAAAAACATGTTCGGGAGAAAAAAATAAAAAGACTTGCAGCACAACCAGTGTGTTTGTTTCTGACCACAACCAAAGTCTGGAAGCAGCCTCTGGGCTGAGAGGCTAAATGTCTCCAACATATCCAGAAACGTCCAGCTGTTTTCAGCTAAAACTCTCAGGATGATCATGTCCAGGATGACTGAGAACTACACCTCCATGCTGCAGCAGCATTCAGTCAGAACAGGAAGTGAAACTTAAATGCAGCTGCTGTCAGTAACAATCTAACAGATTTTAAACACTAAAACTCAACAGAAATATGTCAGAAAGGAAATTAAAATGTTCACAACTTTGTGTGTGATTTGTTATTATTATTATTATTATTATTATTATTATTATTATTATTATTATTTATTGTGGCAGAAGCTGGTGTGGTCCACCACAGAGAAGCTTCTCTAACATGATGACTAATTTCTACAGGTTATTGTTCAGCCTTCTGATGCTCACGTGTCTGACTGCTGACACTCCGTGTGTGTTTTTTATTTCTGCAGTGAGATAAAACTCACCTCACACCGTCCAGTTTGTTCTTTAAAGCTTCTGTTAAATCCACCATGTTGATATATTTTAACAAGTTTCCTCTACGCTGCAGGAATTAAAGTTTACATTACGGAGTAAAAATTCGGCAGACACGTTTGTTTAGATTTGGCCGCTGGGGGGAGGGAGGGGGGACTCGGTGCTGAACACAGACAGCTGGTGTGATCAGCTCTGAAAAGCATTGATCACAATTTGCAGATCACGTTTATTTTTCATGGAGATCGGCCGCGGATTCCTCTTCCGTTGGCACACTAGGAATCGAAACTAGGAATCGAAACTAGGAATCGAAATAAAAAATGTCGAGCGATTCTGGGAAAATTGAACAGTTGGAACCGGTTCCATTCGATGCTCGATTCTTGATGCCCAACTCTACTAATGAGAAAACATACAGCAAGAATGGCACTAGAAGAAGAGTTGTACTACGAAATCAGTTCCTGCAAGAAACAAATTCAGACTTAACTACACCAAGGTGAACTTTTTTAAAAACACAGAAACCTAAAAGAAACTAACATTCTTGAACACTTTTCATCTAAGAATGTCTGATTTTATTGGTGCACAGATGCAATAAATCGATCCATTAAGAGTTAACCCCAAAACTGCATTGATGCAGGGTGGCTGTACTCACATGTTGCACTTGTTTGTGATGAGAGTAAGGTAACATTTAAACTTTTATGATTTTACTGAACTCTGTAACGTGAGGAAGTATGGGTTTTCTGTGCCAAGGTCGTATTTGCCCGGCTGGGTCAAAGATGGGTCACGCAGCAACTTTCACCCACAGATTAAGACCTGAGCCGACAGCAAGTCTGAAGAATTCCACAACAATCCAACACCTGCAGCTCCAGAAGAAGAACTTCAACCCACACTCTAGTCATAATAAAACAAAGTCAAACTTTCTTCATTATTAATGCTAAATAATCATTTGATCACTTTGCTCATTATAAATGTGTTTTAATCAAATGAATGATTATTATGCTTTGGGGAATCATAATGAATCAGTATACTTAATTAAATAGTGTTTTTGAAGGGGTTTAGTGATGACCTTCACACCCGCTCACACAGGTATGGATTCACAGTAACTCCAAAACGCATTTGCTCTGACGCACAAGTTTGCTTTGAGAAGAGAAGTGGTTTTTGGTAAGTTAGTCAGAACGAGAGTGGGAACGAAAGAGAGGGACGTGCGGTACAAACGCCACGGGGAAAGGAGCCCTGCCGGCTCCCCCCCCCCCCCCCCCCCACGCTATTTCTGTCAAGCCAGACAGAATAGCTGAAATGCAACCAGCTAACGCAGACTCGTCCCAGAGTCTTTGATTTCTGAGTTAATTTAAACTTGAGAAAGCGCATCTGCCGGAACGCTTCATCAACGTGTACCGAGGTCAACTCTGGACTGGACCGTCAGCACACCTTCGTCTTCTCTGCCAGCCAAGGTGTGACCTGGATAAACATCCTCCGAGGTCCGGATCTGAAAGAGGGTCCTGAGTACGGTGAGGCAGAACACGATAGATAGCGTTCTGATGCAGTTTTTCTAATAAAAACTAAAGTTTAATTCAAAACATCATTTTTCACTCAGATTCACCTTTTCTCTCCCTGAGGCAATCTCAGACACCTGCATGCACGCATTCATAATTACATCATCCTCAATCTTAGCACATCCAACACAAGGTCTATTTGTGCAAGCTTAAAATATCAACTGTTAAAGATTGTCCAACAAGGTTGCCAATGTTGATTATTTTTCTTATGATTGTCATTTCAAAGCATTAGTTTAAATTGAAGAATTAAAACTCTTAAATTTCAAACTTGTCTTTTCATTGAACTGAAACACAGACAAACGGATATGATCGTCAGTTTATCGATGAAAACAATCTTTGAGTCTTCTTATCTCTATAAATGTGGTTATTAATTTATTAAAATTAATATTCCAGATTATTATGTAGGATGGTTCATCTTTCATAAAAGAGCCAAAAACCATTACGCTACAACTCTAAATTCTCCATCCATCCATCTTCTTCCGCTTATCCGGAGTCGCGTCGGGGCGGGGTCAGTAGCCTAAGTCGAGAGGTCCAGACTTCCCTCTCCCCAGCCACTTGGGCCAGCTTTTCCGGGGAAATCCCAAGGCGTTCCCTAGACAGGTGAGAGACATAGTCCCTCTTGGTCTTGGTCTCCGTTTAGACCTACTCCTAGTTGGACGTGCCCAGATAACCTCACCAGGGAGGCGTCCTGACCAGATGCCCGAGCCACCTCAACTGGCTCCTCTTGATAAAATCTAAATTCTGATTGTAATAATTCATAAATGTCCTTCTCCTTATGCCATCAATATTCATAATAATATTGTAGGTGCAGCATGTCAGAAAACTACACAAAGACAGCTCATATGAGATTAAAAAATATGTTCATTAAACATCTTCAGGGTAGGTCTGAAAAGCTCTGTGGAAAATTAGAATGATTAGAAATCTGTTTAGAGTGCGTAAGTATTTAATGCAAAATAGATAAACGTTAACTATGTGTTTATTTAGCTGAAGATCATATAAATACATTACCCAGACCACGTGAAAATGTTTGTAAAAGGTAAACATTAAATAAACAAAAATGGGACAGTAATTATATTTGTTTTTTTCTTCTTAAGCACAAAGGCATGATCCCCCCAAAAAACAGCTCTGTTGGACTTATATATGAAGGTCTGAACCAGGTAGGGTCATCGAGTATGAAAAATGAAAAGCAGACTCAGCAGCTGTGTTTTTCTAATAGCAGATTTATATGTTCTGTGTTTTAATATTTTGAAGTCACCTGATATCCTGGAACATAGCTGATATAAATTGCTTTGCCCGTGACATCTAATATGTGCTAGCCTGACCTTGGTGGGTTTTGATGATTGATGGCATAAATATCGAACAAAGTCAGTTACAATACCAGCAGTTCAGTTTCTCTGTGGTCAAAAGCAGAACAAATGTAGTAACATGGTTCAGGCAGGGCAGACAGTTCACGTGTTTCAACGTTTGCTACTCAGCAAAAAGAATATCTAACATTGATATTATCATTTGTTCACTTTCATATAGACCACACAGAAAATTAACCCGCTGGAGGCAGGCGTTGCAGATTTGCAACGTTAAAACCTACCTACCTGGTTACCCCACATACGTATTTCATGAGCATTTTTTACCTTTTTTACCTTAAAACTTATTTTGAGCCTGAGAGGGTTAATAGATAAGCATACAGATTTACTTGTGTGTTCCAGTGTTTGGAGCTTTAGAGTTTTTATAAAATTTATAGGGCTGATCTGTTGTTGTGTGAGAGAGAAGTGGAATCTAAAGGCAGGCAAACGGTGTAGAAAAATAACTTGACAATAAAAATTGTAAAATAAAGAAAATAAAAACTAATCTGATAGAAAACAAATTTAATCAAGGAGAATGTGGGGATAACAATAAACACTATATATGAATCTGGATGAGGTGGGATGGAAGACAAAATATAAAACAGCTGAATTCAATTTTCAAGTATTTCCCCTAAAACCAGCTTCTAAGTGTCCTCATTACCAGTGGCGGCTGGTGAAAAATATTTTTGGTGGGGCTGTGCTATTTTTTATTTTTAAACAAACTTGTGCTTTCTGAGCTTTGTGCACAACTTCACTATTTCCTGAATTAAGCACAGCTCTTTTATTTCCTGTCTTACATCATTGGACAAACTGATTAATCCAGGTGTGTCTGACTATTGGCACGCTGCCTTGCGGACCAAGGTTGAAAAATACTGCATTAAATTGCACATAAAATAACATGACCATAAATGGTAAATAGGCAATGCAAGAGGCAAGTAGCAAAAACATTTTGTTTAATTTCAACATTTGAGTGAACACGAAAAATTATGAGCAGGTTACTGTTACAGTAATGGTAGTAAACACTACTTAGACAAAATGCCAGAAATTTACACTGTTAAATATTTCTGGAGTGTTGTGCCAAGGTCAACTTTATACAAAGATCAAGTGGATGCATTTGTGTGTGTGTGATACCTTATTTGTACAGAAATTTTGCCCTTCTGTCCTTCTGAGTGGCAAAGCTCTCGATGAGCTTTTTATTGAAGTCAGGAATGTTTGTGACAAGCTTTTTTTCCATGGAGAGCATGGCAAGAGCATTCAGCCCATCCTGTGTCATGGTGTTCCTCAAGGAAAGTCTTAATCCTCTTTAAAGTAGATAAATAAAAAAACAACAGATAAGTACATAGGAAACACTTTCATAGGAAATAATGTCATCAGTATCCTCTTACAAATGTCATATTTCCCAGTTTTTTGGACAATAAAACATTTCTGATTCTCAATCAGATGTTTTTACATTTGAGATAAAAACATCTAATTGAGAATCAGAAATGTTTAATTGTCCCAAAAGCTGGGAAATTTGTTTGCTGCAGCAGAAGTGTAACAAGTAAAATGGAATCAGATTGATGTATGTACAAATTTACATGAAATACACATTTACGTGATTAAATATGTATAATAAGTATGTGTGTTGAAATTAGTTTTTACAGTTATTGCACATTAAACATGTTGTTAAACAAATGTCCCGGTTTGTGGGACAACCAAGGATTTCTGATTCTGATTGTCTTGTTCACAAAAATGTAATGTACAGCTTACCTCTGCACCCAGCTGCTGTTGTTCTCCCTGGCCAAACGTCCTGCGTTTCTTCCGTTTCCCTCGTCGAGCTGCATGGCAATGTTAGCTCTGCCTAGCATGGCTAGCTTCACCGTGTTGTTGTCCATGTGTGCCCGGGATGACTCGTGTTTCTTCACCTTCTCAGAAAAATGTTTCATGTCTGTAACTCCTGACTCATCCATGCCTTATCTGTCCCAGCCGTTTTGAATAACAAACACAGAAAGCAAAATAACGCATTAGCGTGATTGCATCCAGCTAGCAAAGCCTTCCTGGTGTACCAATTTGGGGAGAAGCCTCGTGTGTACAGTTTACCTCTCTCCTTCTCCTGCTGGCTTATCTTTACGTCGGGCTGATCTGTTCCAAGCTCTTTGACATTAAGTTTTTCCACCATAGTTCTCCTCTCGAACGGATACTGGAGAAGAGACCGAACTGAATTCAGTGGCTGCTGAGATCCGGTATCCATGCTGTTGTAGTCACTGGCGGCGTCCATGTTCCATCTGCGTCACGACCAAAAACGACTCTGCCGAGTTCTACCAAACACCAACGAAACCTTTGGCGGTAGCTCTATCGCCCATCATGCTTCTGAAACAACGTCGACACTGATTGGATACACTCCCATTCCTACCCTTTGATTTTCTTGTCAGCAATTGGACGGCTGGTCCCGTCCTGTTTGGGCGATTCAAAAACAGCCTAGAGCCTCCACCGCTCGGCAGAGACCGGCAGAGACCAATATATATATATGTATATATATATATATATATATATATATATATATATATAAATATATATATATATATATGATTCATTTTTGTTACAAAACACACAATTAATTTAGAATATGTGATTATTGTTAATTTTATTTATTTATTTTTTTAAATAAAAATTAAAAACACTGGGGAAAACTGGGAGGGCGGCGCCCTATCGCCCTCTACTGGCCAGCCGCCACTGCTCATTACCTTTGTTTACCTACAATAAATATTCACTAAGAAACTGGACACCCCTGTAGCCAATACTTCATCCTTTTTTGATTGTTCATTTTATGTAAATGGGTGCCACATGTGTACGATGTTTCTATATGATGTGCTAAACATAAATCAAGTTTGCTAGAAAACTTTCACATTTGATACTTAAAAGGCAAAGAAAATTCCATTAATGTTTTAAATCAAATTATTTAATTTCATATTTTTTATAATATTTAAGAGGATTAAATAAATAAAAGGATTTAATAAATAAAACCCCATAATAATTTAAAATTGTAAATGTTTAAAAAAAATTTATAAGAATTTTTACCTAAACACATTTTAACAGTTAGTAAATAATCTAGATCAAAGTGTTTAATCTTTTAACAACTTTAAAATAAACATAAAATTAATCACAACACATTTTATCTGGCAAACTGATAATTAATGCAAAACACGGTAAATGTTGTTACCCGCTTACATATTTAATTCAACCAATATATACACAATTAAAGTAAAAGGCTTGTTATACACTTATATTAAAACTTATACATATAAAATACAACTTTACCTCACGTGTCACGTAACGAGATGTGACCGCCATGGAAGCTGCGGTCACATGATATAAGCCTGACCTAGCAAGGCGATGTCTTGCTAGGTCAGGCGCCTTGACATTGAGAAACACCCATGGTGTCTAATGCGACATCCCCAAAGATGCTAGTCCTGCAACCTATGTACTTTAGACCTGATTTTGTTTATATGGTATGAAGCTGACAATATTTTTCAACAACTGGACATCATATTTCCAGAGATAACGGTAAAAACTACACATTTTCTCTTTAAGTAAAGCCAGCTGGTTTTGTATCCTGTCACCATAGAAAATGACCTA